GGAAGCTGGTCATCAATTTGGCTAGGAAAAGTTTAAGCAAACATGGTTTTAGCATTTGATTTGTACCTAACCAAGAATTGCACTGACTCCAATTCACTAAATCACACATTCTAGGTTCAAACTTGTTTTATCCCCAGAGATGCTCCTGATGTTCTAGCTAAATCAGTGCAATCCCCCCAAACCTTGACGTCTTTGGGTACTTGCAGGCAACAGCTTTGAGCTGCAGGAGCAGTAATCTTCATTAAGGACTCTTAAACTCACCAGCTTGGCCAAGTGCAGCATGATAACAGGCAGAAATTAAGAGGATCTGGACTAATACAAATAAAAATGCAAGTCTAAATACCAAACTTGTTACTGTGATCCCTATAAACTGTATTTGTTTCTACTCTGTCCGCTTCTAGGTTCTAGGTTACAGAAAAGGCCATTGGTACATTGCTTACAGCAGAAGGGATTCAAAACATCAGATTTGGTCATGACCTACCTATGACAGTGTCCTTACATACTCATGGCTGAATGACAAAGTTGCAAGAACTGAAGAGTTGTTTGCACAGGGGAGAGCTACAGCCCTGTGGGCTCTGTTTGAGATGCCATCACATTCCTGACTAAAAACTGGTACCATGTTTTGAATTACAGCTCTGGGCTTTTTGTTTTGTTTTTAATCTTTTGTGCCTGCTGTGTGGAAGTTGCAAGCAAGAAGGCCTTGGGCCTCCATACAGCCTAAACTCAAGATAGCTGTGTGCCTTCCTCCAGCACTGTTGATTGATGGAGCTGTGTAACACAATATCTCAGCAATACTGCTTGAGACAGCTCTGTAGACAGAAGGTCTACCAGAAGTTAAAACACCGTATTTCCTTTCAGAAGCAATCCTTACTCCATATTCCACCTTTTTTCAGATGGACAGCCTGAGGTTCAGCCCTCTCAGTATTAGAGCTGATACATCGCAAAAGGTAAAGTGAAGCTACTGAAGACCATTAGGAAAACAAGTCTAATCAGCAGTTCGCCAAACTGAGGGAGCCACCTGAGATTTAAGGATCAGTACTTCAGGATCAAAAGGTTAAACACGAAACAGACATAAATAATGTGTCTATGAGCACAGTGCCTAGCTGGTCACAAACTCCATTTGCCTGCTGTAGCAAAATTTCAGTGTTTTTTGCTGTCCGAAAAGCAAAGGTCCCCATGCTGAATCCTTTGTGTACTACAATACACAAACCCAACAAGACTCTGATGTTTCTGACTTGCTACCAAACAGATTTGAGCTTCCATGATTTGGCCTCCAGACACAGGGAGCATCCTATACACACTCCCAGGTTGACTAGTCATCTTCCTACTTTTTGTCTGTCCAAATTTATAGGGTATTTATTTTAACAGGCAAGATGGATTCCTCATGGTGTTTTATGAAGTCAAAAGAAAGGGAGACAAGAAATATGATCATCTGAGACACTGAGAGCGCCATCCTCCTAACAGCTTTTACTGCCATGACCACATAGCAACCCAAGTGAGGCAAGAAGTGCCTATGCTTTTACATGGACAGCCTGGACCCATCCTTGCATAGCTTAGGACCTGGCACAGCCTAATGGCACCTTGTCTCCCAGTCTTGTCAGTAAGAAGTAACATGCAGGGCTGTCAGTGTTCCTCCTGCAGATCCATCACCAGGAGGCAGCTGTAAGGGCCCCACTACAGTCACACACTTGTGCTGTAGTGATTGTTTTGTTGGTTTTATGTTCAAGAGACCATATTTCTCAATTTGACCCAGACTGATCACATCTCAGGCTTCCCTTCATATCCACAAAAGCTCCATATCCATGTGTTTTAAGAAGAAAAGATTTAGGCTCCAGTTTCCCTGTGTTTCTTGGGGGAGGTTGGGGAAGCTATGTATACCAATTCCTACATTTTAAGTTGGTTGGAAAAATGAATTATTTTTTTTTCCTTCAAAAATTCTTGATAATGCATTTATTTTCTCCTCCTGAAGATTTTAAATGACTGCCAGACACCACAGTGCATCTTAGAAGTGACTTGCATTTTTAAAGAATCCCAAAGGAGAAAACATGATTCATTCTGTAAAACACTAAGCAATAGCCACAACCTTTATCTCAAAGGACAAAGTGTAGTTAAAAGCACCCAGCTCATAAGTAATATTCTACAGAGAGCTATTTTTGGAGTTCATTTTCCTCACCTCAAAGAGCAAAACGGTTTCAGGGAAGAAAAAAACAAAACCCCACACTGTTCTTTTGGTGGTTCTGGTTTCTTTTTGATCGATAGATATTCATTCATGAGTAAATCTCAGAATGAAGAGGCTCTGATGGGCTTTTGCTGCTGTCCACTGTTTCTTCACATCAGTAGCTCCCACCAGACATGGGGACAGCTCATACAGTAGAGCAGCTTTGCCTGTGCAGAGGTGAGGCTCTGGAAAGAGCGCATTCATTTTGCTGTGCATTCAGTCTTATTTTTAGACAGCCAAGTAAACAAACGAGTGCCAGTTCTCTTCAACCAAGGTACATTACCGGTCTCTGCTATGAGCAGCTTCCCACTAATGCACACCAAGATCCGCCCTCCCTCATTGCCAGCCAAGATGAGAAAACCTTCACCCTCACTTGCTAAACATAGGTTTAAATGCACAATATTAACTGGAAATATACAAGTGTTGGCCAAAGGGACAAATCAAATTCAAGATCCTTGATGATTTGCAATGACAGAAGGAGTGCTATTGATGACGTTAAATCTGAATGTTTTATGTTTCCATCTGCAGAAATCATTCATATCCTCCTCACAAAGGTGGGGATCCTCCTTTTTCATAAAAGGCATCTGGTTCTCCCTCCTAGCAATCCTCTCCACTCTAGTCTTACTTCCCCTGAAACATGTTTTCCTCTGTGCATCTTTCCCTGTGTTTCAAAGTCTCTTTCAGGCCTCCTCATTGGAAAGGTAAATTTAAATCCATCTGTTCTTCTAATTAATTTACTTTCTAACTTGATATTTTTGGGTGGTGTTTTTATTTTATTTTTTTCCTTCCCAAAAAAAGCCTCATTGCTTATAAAACAGGCATTTCAATAGCAGGTATGAAGTGTTTGCTTCTAGGTTTTTCTTTCCTGTCAGACCATTCTCCCCCTTGTCCTTTTCAAATCTAAAAGGAGTCTAGCAATCAAAATAACATCTTGGTTTTATTCGCCCATTAAGGGGTGTTGCATGCGTCACCCCTCATACATGGGAGTCACAACCACTGTGGTTCAATTCTGCCCATGCTCTGCTGTCCACAGTGTTTCTCTCAGGGCTCACAGCTCACTTTGTCACTTCAAGCAAAGAAATCCAGCTGTTCCCATCCTCCATTTTCAGATTCCGAGACTCCAAAAATAGCACTGCAAGGAAAGGTTTTTAAGCTTAAAGCATGCTAATGGTTCTCAGATTGCTTTAACTGTGAATCTTAGAGTACAGATGAAGCTACCTACCAATATCATTTTAAGGAAGTTGTCCTAAAATACAAGAACAAGTCACTGCTTTTATTTTAAAGTTACTGTGAAGTAGTTAACATTTGCCAAAACTGTCCTCAAAACTAAAAACTGATTCTAGATGAACCCTAAGGTTTGTGATTCATCCCATCACAGCCAGTTAAAGAAAGCAGAAAACATTCAGAACTGAAAACTCCTTCCTCCGTACCTCCCAGTTTTCTAGAGGACAGTGTTTGCACTCTGTTGAAGGACACAAACATCATCATCCCTCCAATTAAGTGCTCCCTAGACCCATTTATCTCCTTGTAGTAATCCAATTTGGCTGGATGTACTTGACTCTGGTGGGAGTGCAATTCACAGAGCAACTGCAGAAGGCAGTTCTTGAGGGACTCATCATGTTACACAGAGGCAGACATTTTAAATACAGAACATTTTCTGCTAACGTGAGGTTCACATGTGCAGCCTGCTCCCGTGACACTGCAGTCCTATGGCTTGCTTTTATTTCACAATTCCCACTTCATAAAAACCAAGCAACACAGAAATGGTTTAATCATTCATGGCTTCATTTTATAGTACACAGATGCTGCTAAATCTTATTGTCAACATTAGTGTTGTCGTTTTAGGAAAAAAAGAGTAGTATAAAAAGAAAAATAGCTACTTACTACAAATGCATTACTTTTTTTTTTTTTCCCCCCTCTACTGACTTCTAACCAACTGGTAACGTGTGGGGGTATCCAGAAGACACAGAAAAATACTCCAACAGTCACCTTCATATATTACTTCTCTTTGTTTGCAGAAAGAGTATAGCAGTAAGTTGACTTATTAATATAAAAAAATAAAAATCTCTCTCTTTTCATTGTACTTGGAACCTCACAAAACAGCTCAGACTATGGTAACAGGTCTGGGGGAACAATGAAAATAACTATGTATTTCACAGCCAGAAAATAATTTTTGTTTTATACAGAAAATAACTTTTGCTTTCAAGTAAGACCTCCAGAGCTACACAAATCACTTCCAAAACACACACTAGGATTTCAGTTGCAAGCAAAAACACTTCTTAGTTACATTAAAAAATCCCCCAAAATAGATCCCTTTGAAACAAATGATAGGGACCTAGACTGAACACATAAGAGCCTGAAAAATAATTCCTGTGACTTAGGAACCACAAATCTGTTCCTTAAAAATCACTCAGCTGACCTTGGTAGTAGCAGTCAGCACACCCTGGTGAGAGCCTTGGCCCAGAGACCAGCTGTCCTCTCCCATCAGCAGCTCCCCCAAGAACCAGGCAAACTCAGGAGACAGATGCCTGCACACAGCCTCACTCCTACTTGCTCCATTTTCAGCAGCAGCCATACTGCTGCTGGTTAATAGCTATTCCATCAACATCCAGCAATAAAATGCACTTAATAACAAACAGCCAAGGAAGATTAACAGCTGCTTTGCTGCATTCCCAGCAGCTCCTGCTCATGCTCTGCCATGCAAGGAAAACTGTCTTTACACTATAGGAAAAAGAAATATACTTCAGGAGATGCACAAGAGCCTAAATGACCCTTACCTTACCTTATCTTATCTTTCTTAAGCTGAGTCCTAAACCTTTCACTGCATTTTCTTCTTATGACCTAGCAAGCAACTCTACCGAACTACAGATTTTTTTAAACTCTGACTTTTCACCAGCAAAACCTTCTCCAGCTGCTACCAATGTGGGGGCCCAGCTGTATCCAATCTTCCCAAATACTCATCTGAGGCAGGTGGGAATACAAGAAATGCTGCCTTTGATTTAACACTACCACCACAATGGTAGCATACTGTTTGATTTATCTGTTCTGTTGTGGCAGTTCAGGGGAAAAGGTCTCTCCAGAGGTTATCAGGAAATGACACTCACTCCTAGCACACAGGCATCCTTTGACATCCCTCTTATGCCTTCCAAGGCTCTACCTGAAATACTGATTTTCTATTTGTCTCAAAACAGAGGCTGAACTAGTACCCAAGCACTTTAATGCCAGACCTGTGTGGATGTGACATTTCCCCAAAAGATGGAGAAAGATGGTCTTGTCCCCTTACACCAAGAGCTGAACCCACAAAGACTGGTCAGATGCTCAGCAACCCTTTGGTGTTAAGGCACATCCATGGGGTGAGGCTCGTGAGCGTCTTTAAGAACTGATCACATCTACGGGGATATGTGTCGGAAGGACGGAAGGAACTGGAAGTGGCAGAGCTACCTTTTATCTATGTTATGTGTGGGAGCTAATACAAAGATACTCGGCACGAAATGTTGACTCATAATAGCGCTAATGCAAAACCTGCTCCTATCAACACTTACTGCACATGTTTTTCCTTCTCTCTTTCTGTGCCTTCATAAAAAAAAAAAAAAAAAAAAAAAAAAAAAAAAAAAAAGAGGAGAGAGAGAGAAACAAAATATTTAGATGATTGTGCAAACACAAAAGCTCTCATGCACCTGGCATCTTTATTGACAAGACAACAACACATACCCTTTATTAAAATTGGGTTTGGAGATGCCCAGTTTTCTGTTTCTGACAGGCTGTATCGAGGTACCTGGCCATGCCTGCACCCCTCGTCCAGTGCTGCCTCCTCGGGCCAGGGCAGAGCAGGGCCCTCACCTACGATGCTGAGCATCGCTCCTGAGCCTGGGCATGTGCTTTCAGCCCCGCCACCTGGGCTGCAGGGCACCAACCCACTGGGGCACGGGATTTAGTCATGCCCGAATAACCGAGTAACTGTTTCTAGCAAAGTGAGCCATTTCATACAAATTTCATTAGGGAGAAAGGTCACCACTCTAATTTCCTTTATAAATCCAACGGGACTGCAGATAAATTTATTCCTGTATCCGAGAAACAGCATTATATCTTCACTTGAATGTCACAGCATCATGCGCTCGGCTGTCACATGAGCACTGCAGGATGAGAGCAGAAGAATTACCTCCCATCCGAGGCTGTGATTTTCCCCCACTGTAATAGTTAATATTTTCATCCCATTTTACCTCATGAATTTCTATTGCTCGGGCTTAGTCACAGAGCTGTGGTGTTTTTATTTGGGAAATTTGAGTGGGAGGAACGATCTCAGTGAAGTTTAAGTAGTTAAATGTACTTGTTCGAGCAGGGAGAGCTGGTTGCTGTGCTTTTTTTCCTTAGTAATATGCTGTGCTGTCCTTTGTGCCCATGTAACTGGCCTTTTCTGCAGAGCAACAAAACCCACTGAGGCAAAGGACAGGTTTCCTGTCAAAAACATACAGATTTCCAGAGATAAGTGCCAACAGGATTGCCAGTTCCTCTCCCTGTGTGTTTGGGGATGGGGGTTTGGGGATTTCCATGCCCACCCAGAGACCCTCACTGCCTACCTCAGGAAACACCACGGCAGCCACAGGGTAGGCTCAGTGCAAGTGGCTGAACTGCTTTCATCACTCAAGTTGCTCACTGCCCTTCTCAGCACACATAACACCCATTTCTGTTAGGATATACTCACATACCACCAATCCTGAGCTGCTCAGACTGTCACCATTAAGTGCTTTCATATAAGAGTGGCCCAGGCAGCTAGTTCAGACAGTGCAGCTGGAGCCAAACACAATCAATTACAGCCATGGAAATGAAACTGATGCACTGAGCCCTCGCCTTTCCTTCCTGGTGGCTCTGTTTTGGCCTCAGCAGTCGGGAAGATAAGCAGCCTTCACCTGGACTGGTGGTGGCCAGAGTGCGAATCCCTGACGAGGACAGCAGCTGGTTCTCCTCACAGAGCACGGGGGTGCTGCTCAGGACAGGCATGCTGCAAAGCAATGCCACAGGCAGGTTTACTGAAGAGCAAAGTCTCTTCATGCCGTTCACCCTCATTGGTTTCTATTTAAAATGTGCCACATTGTGTTAGCCTAATAGTCCTCAAGCTCTAGCTTAATTGAGCCAACTGAACTTAATATTGACTTTATTTGTTGTATTTTCTTTCTGCTCTCATTCTAAATGAGGATAAACTTGGATTCCACACTCAGGTGTGTGGCTCTTCCTCACTCACACGCCTGTGGAGCAGTCTTTCAGGAGGCCATTAGATGCCACCTTAACATTATAAAGAAATTACTGAGCAATTGTCCTTAATGAGGTCACAGTCATGAAACCTTCGTGAAGGTAGACAAATGCCTGAAGCAGCAATGTTTCTGGTGGACCAGTGTTTCTGGTCCAGCCTGCTGTTGGGGGGGATGACATTTAAAGCACTTGCTCACAAAAATAGTTTGTGTTTCTTTTAACGTAGGTAGTTGTTCCAGCTACAGCCAGGCTTCACGAAGGGTTGCAGGCAGTATGTGAGAGGATGTACCTTTGCTCATACTTGCTATTAAACTGAGTCCGCAGCCTGAAGTGAGATGCTGCTCGGCCTATCTTAACAGAGCTAGACTCACACTCCCCAGACATACCATCACACTGCTCCCTTCAGTACAGTGCTCAAAGCTCTTGCTTTTCTTTTCCTCCCTTTGTGAAACCAAGTTCATGTTTCACTCACATTTCAGCCCCCCACCCCATACCTTGCTGTCTCAGAGCTTTCCATTCTCTGTGATTTATGAATTGCTGAACATGAGCGTAATTACAACCAGTGCGTGTGCAGTGTTTGACATTTCTTGAGTGCATCTCTACCACTGACAACATGAATGTATTGCTAATGCATATGCAGGCTTTTAGTGGGAATAATGCAGAAGGTTGTCATAGAGACTAATTAGGCTTGTGGAAGACCCGCCTAAGTGTTTTTGATGCGATAGAAGCTAGCTTACAGTGGTTTATTGTTAATATAAGAAAAGCCGTAATGTTTCCTGTCATCTTTGTTACTAAACTAGCCTTGAACTATGTTAATTTACCTCTTAGCTTAAGATGTTCATAAACTTGGGGGATATAAGTAAGCCAGCGCATGTTAATATTTAATTAATAATAATGTTAGTATTTCTGTATCATCATATGGGAACATGAAAGATAAGGTTAACCTTTGGAGCAACTCCTGCCAGATATTAACAGCTAGATAGCCAGATTAGCTAGCCAGACTGTTTTAGGTGTTGAAAGCAGTTGTTGAGAGCTGGGGGAAAGGCCAGATTCCAGATATCACTCGATAGTGTTGTTCCCACACTAAGCAGGTCCTGCTTGTGCAGACACAGCTTGCAGATTTTCTTTCCTGGAGCCCTAGCTCTTGTTGCTTATATGGGGTGTTAAAAGTGCAGTCGTTTCACTGTGCAAGCATACAATGTTTTCTATAACCTCAGTGAGGCCATAAGAATGCCAAACATAATGAAAGCACATTTAATTAGGGAACACAGCTTTGATGACAGGACATTTCATTGGTGTATGGTCTTTCTTTTGCTGGGCCATGCCTTATTGCAACAACTGCAGATGTAGAGGACAGGAACTAGAGGGACTAGAAGGACAGGGACTAGAGAAAGCAGCCAGGCTCCAGTGATCTCTTTAAATAGCCTATGTTTTTGCCACTGGCAGAGGAAGAGCACTGGGATAAATGGTCTGCTGCTCTGCCAAGAGGTGTGCCTGCTGTGTTGAGGTGTTTGGGAGCTGCATTTGGCCCTGTCCCCTCTGCTGGCTGTGAGCTCAGGAAGAAAATCTTGCAGAGAAGGGGCAACCAGGGATGCCATAGTGCAGTGTCAGGAAGGCAGAAAGCCAGTGGCATTCCATTGTGAATGCAAGTGGCATGGGACACTTAAAATGGTGTTTCCAGAGACAAGGACATACAGGATGACAATTCACTAGCCAAATGGAGGGGAGGGATCCAGGCTGGCAAGTTCAAAGATGGCCTCTGCAGGTTGTGTTCCCCGTAGGGATGGTGTGAAGCAGAGAGGTCAGGCTGTGAGCCTCTCTTACCCACACAGCACATCTTCTGGCTCCTCGCATCCATCTGATGACAATACAGCCGTTTTGTCTGTCACAGCTGTAACTTTCTAGTTTCTGTGAGGGGAAGATGGCTGCTTTTCATGTGTGTGCTCTCCAAGGTGAGGTTGTCTTGTCAGCCTAGAGAAGTTCAGTGAATTTTGTTTTTTCTTAATCACTTTATTTGCTTTCAGTAAGAAAATTGTAATTCTATTCACATTACACCTAAAGTAGTATATAGGGAGAACTTACATGTAATTCTTTGTGCTGAGCTAACCTCCTGCCACAGCTGCAGGGTGAGCTCCTAGCCCCAGATACATAATCTCAGGTGCCATCTGCTCCTGTACTGAGCTAATTCACCTCAGTAACAGAAAAGTAGCCCTAAGCTGGTAGCAAACGTACAAAAACGTGCTTGATAAGAGCACAGTAGAAAAGTTGAGATGCCCTAGCAAGTTTAAGAGGAGGTACAAGTGTGGGCAGGACCTTTTCATAAGCAGCTGCTATAGCTTAGCTCGGCCCCAAGCACATGATGTGACCTTTACATCACTTCTCACTTGCTATGCTCCATAGTGCATCAGCAAAGCTTGCATTAAGTGGGTAGGTATTAATCCCATGCTCCTGACAGGGAGACTGGAGCTTAATCTGAGATAGGAGAATGACGTCTTCAGTTTATGTGCTGGTAGAAACTTCTGAAGTCATGTCAATCTGTGTGTCATCAGCTCCAGGACTGCTTAGTGGACTGACTAGATATCACTGTGTGCCACTAGCTTCAGACCTAAGGCAATGACAAATGGACGGAAGTCACCACTATGTATGCACATAGGCAGTCAGATAGGCAGTCAGAACAAA